CACCCTGTTTTTAGAGGATAGAGCAAAGCACCATACGTAAGGAACGTAGCGTGGCCTTAACTGAGGCGTGAGGGGGGCCCTAACTGGTAGACCAGAGGCCAAATCCAGCCCACAAAATGAGCTTGTCTGACCTGCTACATTTAGCCTCAAAAGACAAAGCCAGCAGACAGAGTGCAACAGCTGAATGGTCTCCATGGCACCAAGACAAATTCAAGCATTTAGGTCCACCAGACACAATCCTATCTGGTTTGTAAGAAGATGGCACAAAACAGTCATCGGATTTCCAGCACTGGAAGGTTTGGTCCATCCAGGCCTACAGAGATCACTGACGTGCCACCATAATGGATGCGATAGAGGTGGCAGGGCAGGTGATACAGCATTGCCACTTCACAGGCCATGTGTTAAAGAGCTCTGAAAATCTGTATGCGTGTCAAACGTGTCCTTTGCAGGCAAAAGTATACTTTACTTTGCACCACAAATTCAGCCTGTAAAGCTTAAAAAAAGCATAAGAAGAGTTTACAGGTATCTACAAAGACCAATGTAAGGATGTGATAAAAAAACCTTTGACTTTTTATTTTAGTGGAATATCATTTTCATGCAAAATGCTACTGTGATCTCTGTGTTTCCTGTATTACTTCTTATTAAAAGTGGGAGTCTCAGCCAAAGATGATATGTCTTCCTACAGGAAAATGCAGAAGCAGATTTGAATTCTCCTAAGTCATTTACAATGAGGGATTAAGAATGAAGATATAAATTTCTGCCAATGTTATTTATCACAACTAAATTGAATTACATATTAAGTAATTGCTGTACAGCTTTTGAATTATTTTGAGTAATACGAAGGGAAGTTTCTGCTTTATATTTTTAACTTTTTATTAGGAGATGTGAATGTGTGGCAAATTATTTGGTTTGCATGGCATTTTACAGAACATTTCTTCTTAATATAATTCAGTTCAAAGCTTGATCCATTCATATAAGAACTCATGGGGTCAAGGCCTAATCAGGTAATATTTAAGAGACTAATATAAAGGACTTATTTCTGAAAATTAAAAACTGAATAAAAAGACATAGGAATATTAAGTCATTGTTAATGTCTTTTTGAATCAAAAAATACCCAAACCAGTTTTCTTAATCAGTGCTTGTACAGTTGTGCTGGAGTAATGATTTTCTTGGGGCAGCAGGACATTGCTTTGACATTCTGCTCATTTATAGAACTGATAAATTTAGCCAAAGGAGATTGAAGGGGGCATGGCAGCAATCTTCATGCCCCAAAAGGTGGCTGCAAAGGGAAAGAAATAATCTCTTTCCACCAGGGCTAAAGACAGAGAGGATAAGAACCACGCTCGGCCGCCCTCGTGCCTCCATGGCACTCGCCTGTGTCGTGCCTGTGCTACGTGGTGCAACAGCACGGGCTGTGCCTTACGACCTGGGTCCCCACCCTCTTCCAAACCATCTGCCCTTTACTTGGGGACTTTCTGCAGTAATGAACGCTGGAACAGATTGTCTTGGGAGATTGTAATGGCTTACGTCATTGCAGGTTGTTAAGGACAAATTAGATGAACTTTGGCTGACAAAGCTGATTCTTGCATGCCTGAGAATCGACGAGAGCGGCTTTTGCTGGGCCTGCCCTGGCACCGTGGGCTTTGCTAGATGTGTAACTGTTACGGTCTGAGGAATCCACAACAATTTATTGTTGTTTAGACAATTATTCTATTGTTCTTCTATTCTATTCTATTCTATTCTATTCTATTCTATTCTATTCTATTCTATTCTATTCTATTCTTCTTCCCCAGGAAGGGGAAATGGAAAAACAAGAAAAACCGAGAATTGAAATATAAACAGATTTTATAAAATAAGACTAAGTAATTAACATTAATAATACTAAAGAACTAATATTGATCCTGATACCAATATAAAATATACAAGGACTATACTCAGACAATCATATCAGTAGGAAGCTGTGCACTCCCAGCAGTGGACAGCAAATGTGGGACACTGTTGTAGAGACGGACACGACACTCAATATCCAGTTACAGCAATCGTCCCTTTATTTTACAAGCAGTGCTCTTTTATATCCTCTTAGCTGGTTGCTTATCTGTGCATATATTCTAACATTCTACTTTTGCCCAATCCACTCTCACATCACACACCATTCAGCCAATACAATTGTTGATCACGCGCTGTTCATGCTCTGGGAAAAGCCAGGATGTTTGCCACCCCTTATCTTGTTTGCTCGGATCTTCTCAGGATTCTTCTGTCTCCTCAAGGGTACACGGGTATCTGTTCAGGGTCAGTGTTAAACTTGTATTTTGATCCCTCGGACCAGCCGAGGTCTCCCACAGGACACTGCCAGCGCTATGGCTTCAGGAGGAAGGGAAGGGCGCAGGGGTCCAGCACCGGGGCAAGAAGTTCTCAGGATGCCAGCCATCAAGGGAGAGAGAACTTCTCCGCAAACTTTCTAATGTATATTGAATGTGACATTCATGGTATGAAATAATCCTGTTGGCCAGCTTGGGTGGTGTCTGGGTCTCGCTTGTCCTCATCCCTGCACCTGGTGAGCTCGAAACCACTGAGGCCTTGAAACCCCCACACCATAGCTGGGTACAAAGTAAATATTTTCACAAATTCAGACACTAGAGTCTTCTAATAGTGCAGTTTTCCCAAGCATTAGAAGAGACTTTACTGAAAAGTGAGATTACTGAAAGAGAAATTAGTCCTGTGTCGCTCAAACCAGGACAGAAAGAGGGACCTTAACCCGAGCAGACCAGGGGATGATGCAGGGGCGGTACGACCCCTTCCCACTCCTCCCGCACCCGGAGCCTGCCAGCTTCAGCTTCGCGAGGCCGGTTTTCTGGTTATCAACAGCAGCTGTGACGGCACATCTGTCTGTGTTTGTGGACAGCCTCCATCTGCTGGTGGTGAGCCAGGCCTGAGGAGGTTTCTAGGCTTCCTTTCTGCTGGGAAACTTGCTCGAGCAGATGTCAGACAGCGACTGTATTGTAGCAAAACACCATCCAGTTGCCCCTGTCCTGGAAATACAGCATTTTAATCACATTACTATTTTATGGATAAACATTACATACAAAATTGAGGTGTAACAGGTGTCAGATTGATGTCTAAAGAAGAAAGTTATAAGTTTATCAAGAAGTTTTGTTTGGGACATGGTTGGGGCATCAAGGGGTGCACCTAACACTGAACAGGATGTGAAACAAAACAATGTGTCTTATGTGTTCTTTTGTAGTTGCTGACTTAGATGTAAGATAGTAAAAAACATAACTTCTGGACCAAATTTGAGCCAAGAGTGTCTCCCAAACTAACTTTGGGGAATTATAATGCTAAAACACACCCCTCTTTGTGCATAATGAACATGCTAATCAGGTAACCTCCCTATATGTTTTAAACGTGAGCTGAGATGCGTATGTATAGTATGTATAGGAGCACCAAACGAATCATTATTGACCAATCAGCTGTGTTTTGTCGTTCTAAATATTGGGCAGTTTGAGCCGTGAGGCGTGCTGGCTGGTGTTAAACGCTGGTCACCCAATTCTGCAGAATTGCAAGAAAACCAAGTATCACGACTCAGTGTGTTGATTGGCTCTCACACACTGCGTGAAAAAAACTCTCATTCAGGGATAAGATCACATATGAAGTATTTAACTTTTGTCTTTACAGTGAGCTATGGGATCGGGATCACATCCATTCGTTCGCTTATGGGGTGGGTTTTTGGTTGTTTTTTTTTTTACCCTTCTCTCGGGTACTTCCTTAGATAAAAGCAAACGTCACATATCCGACGTCATCATACTGGGTTTGCCGTCAGCACGGTTCCCCGCCATCGCCCCCGCGATAGCCATTAGCCCCCGGGGTGCGAGCGGGCAAGCGACCGATTCCCCGCTTCCCCCAAAGAAGCTCCGGCCCCCACTGGGCGATCCCACCGGCCGCCCAACGGCTGACGTCACCGGAAAGGCGGGTGAGGCCCCGCCACGCCGGCCAATGGGGAGCCTGCGG